AACTTTTCCGAGTCAGGCGGGCCGACTCCCCCCATCTCCCCCTACTTCTGGAAGCGCTGACAGCCACGCCCACCTCCCACTGTGGGGCTCATGGGTCCAGGCTTTGGATCCTGAAGTCTCGGGACCACGTGGCTACATAGGCAGCCACACAACACCTCCTAGAGCAAGAAACAGCGTCATCGATTCTTAGACAAGGACTCAGCCAGCCTGCGATCAGATATGACAATGTTCGCATAAATTGATTTTCCATCCCTATTGATTTGAATATCACAACAACTTTGTTATCTGATCAACTTCCATTCTAGAATTTCGTCAACAGGTGTGCCTTTTTTCCTTTCCTACACGAAAATCTTTTTTTTTTATAGTGGTGGTGGCAGTGGGGGTGGGATTGGGGTTGGGATATTGAACGTCGGTTAACTAAACACATGGCTTGATAAAGTTATAACACCAAAAAAAGGAAACAAAGAAAGGAAAAATCAGGGGCTGGAGCGATAGCACAGTAGGTAGTACGCTTGCCTTGCACGTTGCTGACCCGGGTTCGATTCCCAGCACCCCATATGGTCCCCCGAGCACCTCCAGGAGTAATATTCCTGAGTGCATGAGCCAGGAGTTACCCCTGTGCAAGGCTGGGTATGACCCAAAAATCATAAAAAAAAGAAAAGAAAAATTTAAAAAATGATAAGTTTAAAAAAATCTGCTTAGCATTTGTTCAAAGAGGAAAACAGAATGATGCCAGCGGCGAGTAATGGCCCGGGGTGACCATGGCCATGGGGCACTGCTCTGCTTAGCCATCATCAACCACACAGCCCCAGGGCGGCCTTTACGACTCGCCTCAGGGCTACACCCCAGGGACTTCAGGGCCAGTCAGACCACCTCAGGCTCTTGGCCCCACCACAGGGCGCTGACAGGTGCTGAGCCCCGATTTCCTCCGGGGATTGAACCCAGGCCTCACAGGGGCAAGGGCAGGACTGGGGGGGGCGGGGCACTCCCTATTTGTTTGCTTGGTGTTTTTTGCTTTTTGGATAACTCCCAGGGATGCTCAGGGGTTCCTCCTGGCTCTGCATTTAGGAATTACTCCTGGTGGTGCTGGGGCGGGGGGGCCCTATGGGACGCTGGGGATCAAAACCGGGTCGGCCAAGCGCAAGGCAAACGCCCTACCCGCTGGACTATCGCTCCGGCCCCCCACGCCCTATTTTAACCCTGACAACAACCTTTGAAGTCAGACATTTTTGTGTCCTTTGGGGGGTTGCTTGGGGCCGCCCCCAGGATTCACTCCTGACCCGTCAGCATCTCGCCTGTGCGGTCTGGGGACTGGCCAGCCGCCTTCCTCCCTGTATTACTCCTCTGGCCCCTACTGTGTCCTTTTTATGGATGGCCAGCCCAGAGAGATCGAGTGGCCAATGGCAGGTCACACAGCCCTGGGCGTGTCTCAAGTCCCCGAGATCCTGCATTCGTGTTTCTTTTTTTTTTTTTTTTTGCTTTTTGGGTCACATCTGGTGATGCTCAGAGGTTGCTCCTGGCTTTGCACTCAGGAATCACTCCTGGCAGTGCTCAGGGGACTATATGGGATGCTGGGAATCGAACCCGGGTCGGCTGCGTGCAAGGCAAACGCCCTCCCCGCTGTGCTATTGCTCCGGCCCCAACACTTGTGTTTCTAAGCAAGTTCCCTACGGTTCTGGGGTAATGCTGGTCCGCGAGACCCACTTGGAGTCCGGAGGGGGCTCACAGAAGCGGGGGCGGGGCCAGGAGGTGTGTGTGTGGGGAACCCGGGGCTGTGCTGGGGGGTTATCTCCCCAGCTCTGGCTCCTGACTCCTCAGAGCCTCAGTCCCTCTCCCTGTTGGTATTGCCAACTATCTGGAACATTCCAGAACAATCCCAGCTCGGACTTCCTGAACCTTTGCCAGATGCACCGAGGGGGGAATTTCCTTTCGGGAGTCCCCTGGGGGGAGCCACGGGGCGGAAGGAGGTGACCAGAGACGCCCCCTCCCCAGGCCTGGCCGGAGAGGGTCCCGTTCATCACAGAAACGGCCCATTTGCCGTGAGCCGAGCCCGGCGCTAATCACGCTAATGGCACGGGAAGGGTAAACTCGGGCAGCGACTGGGCTGAGCAGAGAAATATGCAGAGAAGCACCTCGGCGGCCATAAATCAGCCACGTGCAGCCCGACCAAAGGGGCAGGACTTAAAATTCCGGTCAGGAGATGGGTATCCTCATAATCCGAGCCGAGAGCTAATTTATTCTGTTTATATCTCTGACTGTGCGACAAGGCTTGGAGCAGCAGCCGCCGTGGACATCCTGCATTTTAAATATTGGTCCTGGCTCCAGGGGCGGCCTGGGGTGTGGTGGTTGGCAGGAGACGCAGGGCAGGGCCCCACGTCCCGGTGTTCCTGGGCGAGGTGACAGCCTTGCCCCCCCCCCCCACTCCACCCACAGGGCTTTGCCCCCGTCGGAAATCTCAATAAATAAACGACAAGAAAGAGAGAGGAAAGGCGCGGGCAGGGGCGAGAGGGAGCAGCAGGGCACGTGGATGGGCTGTGGCCGTTCGTGGCTGTTCCCACGATGCCCCTTCCCCTGGCTTTGTTTGCCCGGGTGGGCACCTGAGCCCATCCAGGACCTGGGCAAGAGCCTCAGGCCTGGCAATCTGCTCCTGGCCAGGGGAGTGCCCGGCCTCCTCCTTCCTGTCCCTCCTTTACGTCTTCCCTCCCTTCCTCCCTCCCCTCCCCCTCCCGTCCTCCTCACCCTTCCTCCTCTCCTCCCCCTTCCCTCCCTCCCTCCACTCCTCCCTCCTGCCCCCTCCCTTCCCGCCCTCCCCTCCTCATCCCTCTCTTCCCTCCCTCTCATTCCTCCCCTCCACACCCCCTCCCCTCCTCCTTCCTTCTATTCCTCCCTCCCCCCCTCACCCCTCCCTCCTCTTTCCTTCTCTCCCTCCAGTCACAGGGCCTGGGGCTGGCTGGTGTCGGTCCATCCTGGGGTCTCTCTGGGAGCTGAAGTCCCTGTGTCTACTGCTGCCTGGCCAGTGACCCCCACGCTGCTCCTGTCCCCTCCTGGGCCTCACTGGGGACCTCTGATCCTACTCTGCACAGGGTCAGAGCCTGCAGACCCCCGTTGGCAGTAGCCCTGCAGGAGCAGAGCTCGGAGTCCCCTGCAGAGACGGGGGGGGGGGGGGGGGGGGGGGGGTCCTCTCTGCCCGTCCTGAGGGGAAGCAGGGGTGCAGGAATGGGGGTGAGCAGGGGTGCGGGACAGGGGACCCATAGAGGGTCACTTCTGGAGGTGCTGAGGGGGCCATATAGGGTGGGGGGATTGAGCCCGATTTGGCTACATGCAAGGAAAAATCTTCCTCTCTTTCTTCCTTCCTTTCCTTCTCCCTCCCTCCCTCCCTCTCCCTCCTTCCCTCCCTTTCTACCTCTTTCTCTCCCTCCCTCTCTCTCTCTCCTCTTCCTTTTCCTTCCACCCTGCACCCTCTTTCTTGCTTCCTGTTATTAGTTTTGGTTTTCGGGCCACACCCCCTGGAGCCCCGGCTCACACATAAAGAGGCGCTCAGCTGTTGAAGTCTTCCTCCTTCCTCCCTTCCCTCTCCCTCCTCCCTCCTCCCTTTGTCTCCCCCTTCCCTATTCCTCCTTTCTTCCTCCTCTTTCTTTCCTGCCTCGGTGCCCTTCTTCCCTCCCTCCTCCCGCCTCCCCTCCCTCCTCCCCCTCCCCTCCCCACAGGCACCTGGAAGTAGACGGAGCATAATCAGGAGTGATGCTGGACCCCTTGGACTTACCGAGGCAAACAAATCCCATGTTCTCACAGCATCAAATGTTTCAAAGGCCTACTGTGTGCCAGGCAGACTTTTGGTTCTGGGGTTTCATTAAAAAACAAACAAACAAACAACTGGGGGCTCTTGGGGGGTGAGACTGAGACTGGCCACATTTTTGTGCTAGTCACAACAGCAGCCCAGATTAAGAAAATCAGGTCTGTGTGTCCATCAAATCTGAATGCGTCGGAGACAAGAATTATTCCATTTTTATTCTCAGACTCTGCAGGCAGGGACAAAAAGAAAGAAACCACGCAGCAATGAGGGAAAATGAATTTTTTTTATTAATCTTTCTTCTTAAAAAAGTTCAATTTTTTTTCTTTTCTTTTTTTTTTTAGGTAAACCTCTTCTGCCGCCCCTCCCCCACTCTGCCCACCCGCCTCTTAAAAATATAAAAATGTCCAACCCCAGATAACTAGAGTACAATAAATAAACAGTAAACACAAAAACATACTTTATTTGTTTCTCCTTTATACAAAATAAGGAAACTAGAGGCGGTCAACTTTCAAAAAAGTGTTAATACTGTCCGTCCTGACAGCCCGCCTCCAGCGGGGGAGGGAGGGTGGTGTGTGCGCCCGAGCCCCCCCGTTCAAAATAAACGTTAAAGTCAGAAGGGGCGCGGGGGGGGGGGCGGGGGGGTCCGGGCCTGGCCGCGCAGTCTGGGGGGTCCCACGCCTCCCTGGACGGCTGACCTGGAGCCCGCGCGGCCGCCAGGAGGCGCCGACGTGCAGGTGGCGTCCGCGCGGGGCCCTGCGCTCGCTCCTCTCCATCCATCCTCCCCATCTTCTCCTCTGCGCATCCTCCCCACACCCCTGCCAGCTCTTTCTTTTCCTTATCATCTTTTAAGACGAGCGGGGGAGGGAAAGCGGGGCGAGGACCACGCTGACAAATGCCCCCTCGGATGGCAGAGAAAGGGGAGGAGAGGGGGAAAGGAAAATAACCCCAGAGGGTCTTCGCCCCTTGTCCTCAACCCGCCGTGGGTCCAAAGAGGCGGCGCTGGGTGGGCTGGGGCGTCGGGGCGCGTCTAGAATGTGCTGGAAATCCCCGGAGTATTGACTTTGGTCCCAAGACTTTGCGGGCGGCTGCCCGCTGCCGGTGCGCGCTGGCCGCGGGGCGGGGATCGGGATGGGGAGGTCCCAGCGCGCCCCGCGGGGTGCAGAGCGGGGCGGGTGGGGTGGGGGGCGGGGGTCGCGGAGAGCGGACGGACCCCCCACCCCCTTCCTCCTCCTCCTCCTCCAGGCCGGTCCGCGGCGGGCGTTTTGGTTTTGGGCGGCGGCGTCCGGGCGGGTGCGAGGCCTTTACCACACGGCGGCCTCGTTGAGCTCGGGGTTGGGGTGCGAGAGGGGTCCGCTGTAGCCCCCCGCGCCGCTCAGGGGGAAGGGCGGGCTGGGGCCGCCGCTGAACACCTCTCCGGGCATGGGGTGCAGCGCCCCGGGCAGGCCCGGCTCGGGGCTGGGCGTGTCCGGGTGCGAGATCATGTCGGTGAAGCGGGGGTTGTCCGCGGCGTGCGGCCCGGCCAGCGGCGGCTCCAGCGCGCCCAGCGGCGTCGAGGCCGCTCCCGACGCCGCCAGGAAGCTCGAGTCGGCCGGGGACTGCGCCTGCGACGGCGGCCCGTGCGCGAAGAAGTCGTAGTTGCCTCCGGGCGCGTAGTAGTCGCCTTGGTAATCTGCGGAGGGCACGGGGAGACGCAGTGAGCGGCGCCGGGCGCGCGCGGGGTGCGGGCGGGACGGGGACCCCCACCCCATCCCCGGGGAGGTGGGGGCCGGCGGCGGCGACCCGGAGGAGACTCGGGGCCTGGAGTCCGAGACGCGCCTGGGGGAGGATGGGGCGGGGCGGCCGGCGGGGACCCCCCACCCCCATCCCCGGGGAGGTGGGGGCCGGCGGCGGCGACCCGGAGGAGACTCGGGGCCTGGAGTCCGAGACGCGCCTGGGGGAGGATGGGGCGGGGCGGCCGGCGGGGACCCGTCCCAAAGCCGGCCAGAGACAGCGCGCAGCCCGGAGGAGCAAAGTGGCCCGAGAACAGCAAAGGAACCGGGAAGGCCGGCGTCGGGCAGAGGGGGACCCGGCCGGGTGTGCCCCGGTGCGGACAGGAGAGAAACCCCAGCTTCGGAGGGGAGCGCGGCGCGAAACTGACGCGCCCCGTTCTTTTTTTTTTTTTTTTCTGAGCCAGCGGCGCGGGTGGGAACGCACTGGGGATATTAGCGACATTGGGGGCTTGGAAACGGAGGGGGCACTGGGCGTCTCCCCGGGCCGACGGGAGTGGTCGGTGGTCAGCCAGCCGCGATCGCTTTGCCGCCCTTCCCGCGAATGTCAGTGGGTCCCAACATTTGCACCCGCATCTCCAGTCTGGAAGGGAGGGAGCTGAGCCTCCGAGGCACAACAGACCCTCTCCCAGTCACCCCCACCATGGGCAGAGCTCCCGGGGCCTGGGTTAAGGGGCTGACCCCCCCCCCCCCAAGCGCATCTGCTGGGGGAAGCACTTGGAGGCGTTGAACCCGTTTGAGAACCTGCCCCCGCATCGCTCGCGCGCTACTCTCTTCTCCAGAAAACAAGGCACACTGGCTTAGTCCCCAAATTCAGGACTGCCAAACCGTTTCCCTCCCGTCGCACAGCCTCTGATCTCCCCCCACAGTCCCTCACCCCAGCCCCAGGCCCATGGCCGAGTGGGGTGTTGGGCTCCAGGCCAGGACCACCTTGGAGCCTGAATAAATGACAATAACCCGCTTTATACGGTGGGAAAAACGGAGCTCGGGAAACCCAGGTCTGCTCTGCAAAGCCCGGCCCGGCTCGGTTTGGGGGTGTCAGTCAAGAGTTTCTGACACCCCTAGCCCCTCGACCCCCCAGGTCCCAAAATCCCTTCAAAAGAAGAGCCGCGCTCCGGGACGGTGTAGCCAGCCGGCGGCTGAAACGACCCGGATTACTTTTTTAGAAGCCGCTCCCTCCATTCTTCCGGCAAGGGACGGGAAGGGAAGGGCTGCAAGTGCCGGATTTGGGGGGCCCCGGAGGGGAGAGGATGGGGGACGGCGGCAGTCGGCGGCGAGCCGGCCAGCCCGCGAGGGCCCGTCCCCCGCGCGCCGCGCGCCGCCTCCTCCCATATGGCGGCCAGGCCGGAGGTAATTGGAACAAACGCGGAGTGAAAAGGCACAAAGGCCGCAGCTGGGGCTTTGTCCGCGCTCCCGCGGGGAGCCGCCGGCCCGCCGCCCGGCCCCGTTCCCGCCGCCGCCCGGCCGCGCCGGGATGCCCTCGCGCGGATTAGGCGGGGCTGTGTCGTGGGGGCTGGCGGGGCCGGGGAGGGGGGCAGCCCTGCCTCGACTCCCCTGTTCGGAGCAGATAGGACCCGGAGTGTCCAGGCCCCCGCCCCATCCAGCTGACCCGCGGGCAGGGCGGTGCGGGATGCGGGGGGGTGGGGGGTACGCCGGCCCCTCCCCCCAAGTAGGGAACCTCGCGAATGACAACGGCGGGGGAATTTCTGGGCTCCCCCTCTCCGCCCTGCCCCGGCGCCGCCGAGTTTTGGATTTTGTGCGCCCGGTGGTAAAGGACCAACGCAGCGAGTTTGGGGTGAGGGAGAAGCCAGGACACGTCTAGGATCTGCGATGTCCCGCAAGTCGGAGCCTCCCCCCAAACCACAGTGACTCCCCCACCCAAAGCAGCGCCGCGGGCAGCACCCAATGGCCAGGACGCGCCGCGAAGCCGCGTCACCGCGCGCCTGCCCGCGCCGACCCCGGGGCTCTCGCCTGACACCCGCCCACGGGGCTCACCCGAAGCGCGCCCCGGGCATAGCACTGGGCGCCCCCACATTCGGAGGCTGAAAGAGGGAGAGAGAGGAGAGAGAAGAGAGACAGAGAAAGAGAGACTGAGACAGAGACAAAGAGACAGGGGCTGAGACAAAGTCAGAGAAACAGAGACAGAGAGAGACAGAGGCAGAGAAAGACACACAGAGAGAGTCAGAGAGACAGAGACAGAGAGAGACGCGGAGCAACCAACGGGGCCTTAGAAACTCCGGCTGGAACTGGGGCGCCGTTTCAGCAGGTGTGAAGGAAAGAGGGGTGGTGGAAGAAGGGGACACAGGAGGCCCCATGGAGCTGGCCCCTGTCCCCCGAGCCCCTGAGACCTGGGCCTGCTGTCCCCGGCCGAGCAGCAGCAGGCGCCTGGATTGTCGCGGTCCCGCGCGTCCTCCACGCTCGGACCGCACCCGGGGACCGGGGAGGCTGGCCCGGAAGCCCCGCCTTCGGAACCTGTCTCGGTGGCGCCCCGATTTCCCGCTGGAGCCAAATCCACCGGGGGCCCATGGGGGGGGGGTTGGCCTGAGTGGGTGCGTGGGATCTGCGTGGATCGACGAGTGTATGGGGGTCCACCTGCACGGGGTCGTGTGCCCCAGGGGTGCGGGCAGGGCTGGTCCTCTGGAAGCAGCTGGGATTACGCGTCCGGCGCTCAGGGCGCTCGGGGCCAGCGACGCAGGGGGACTCGGGGTCCCCTAGGTGTCGGCGGGGGGCGCGCCGCCACGCCGTCCGGGCCGGAAGGCGGGGAGAGCGCGGGACTCCCGAGCCGCCTCTTACCTCCGTAGTAGGTATACGGAGTGGACCCCAACATCTCCGACTCGTCCAAGCGGCCGCCCAGCGGACGCATGCGCCTGGGACTCCGGAAGAAGGCGTGTCTCCGCGCGCCCAGCGCGCTCAGCTGCTTCATGCGGCGCTCTTTGGACCGTCGGTTCTGGAACCACACCTGGGGCAGAGGAGGGGGGCGGTGAGCTGGAGGTGGGGGGCCGCTCCCTCCCCTGCTCGGGTCACCCCCGCTGGGTCCTAGCGCGCAGCGACACTGGCCGGAGGCGGGGGCCCGGCCGGATTAAGCCCGGAGAGGTGGAGAGTGTCCTGGGCGGGCGGCGAACCAGCCAAGGGTGAAGGATTTCCAGGCCCCGTGGGGCGACTCATAAAGGCTGGGGCTTCCTGCGCCGGGGCCCGCCCGCGGCCTGACGGCTTTATAAAGGCCTCCCGGCCGCCGCCAGCCTCTCCCCTCGCCCCTGCTGCCCGGCCGGCTCCGGCCGCGCCGTTTCTGTCCGTCGGCGCTTCGGCTCGGACGGTGGAGGGGGGCCCGTACCCCAGCGAGGCGCACAGCGCTCCTGGCCCCGGGCGAGGGGGGGATGCAGGGAGCTCCACAACACATCGCACCCCCGGGCGGGGGGTGGTAGGCTGGGGGACGGGCAGCCAGGCGGGGCCCGGGCTGGATTTGGGGATCGGAGGCCCCGCAGCTGGGCCCGACGCGTCGCGCACGGTGCGTCTCTGCGCCCCGGCGCGGTGCGCGCGCGCGGGGCCTCGGGAACTGCGGGGCGCGACGGGGCGGCCCCCGGCCGGGCCGCACCTGAATGACGCGCATGTTGAGGCCGGTCTCCTGCGCCAGCTGCTCGCGGATGTGGCGCGTGGGCTTGGGCGTGGCGGCAAAGGCCGCCTTGAGCGTCTCCAGCTGTTTGGCTTTGATGGTGGTGCGCGGGCCGCGCCGCTTGGTGCCCGAGTTCTGTTCCTCGTTCTCGTTGTTGGCCGTCTCCTTGTCCGACGACGTCGAGTTGTCGGTCTCCTTGGGGTCATCCTGCAGCGGGTCCTGGAGGTCCGGGGACAAGCTGCGGTCCGTACAGGAGGACACTGCGGGGCGGCGGGGTGAGAGGGGGACAGCTGAGCCGCAGCCTCTCGGGTGGGGTCTGGGGGTCCCTCCCTCCCGCGACAGCCCCTTCCCCAGACACCCCTGCTCCCAGGAGCGGCTGTCCCTTCCAGGTGGGGCAGAGCCTTGGCAGGACCTTTCTCAACCCCCCTCTGCATTTTGCCGCCTTTGCCCCGAGGGCGGGGACCGGGGGAGGGAGCACTCTGGGGGGGGGCGGGGACAGGAGAAAGCAGGAGGAAGGACAGGTGCCTCTCAGCCAAACCGGGCACCCCTCTGGGCCTCTCCAGCAGGCCCTCCTCAGCGCTCCAAAGAAGCAAGAGAGGGATGAACGAATGGAAGGAAGGATGGGGGAACACAGTGCCCAGTCCGGGCGGTGGGGGCGGGGGAGGGACACTTGACCCCAGCGCTGCGTCCGGCCCAGCCTCTCCACCCCGCCCCCGCCTCCGGGGCGCCCACCTGAGTTGAGGCTGCCCTCCTTGAGGCTGGAGCTCAGGTAGTCGTCCTTGCACACGAACTTGTTCTCGTCGATGACGTACAGCTCCTCGCCCGTGGACAGCTGCTTGTTGCACACCATGCAGGTGAAGCAGTTGAGGTGGAACACCTTGCTCCGGGCCTTGCGCACCAGGTCGCTGGGGGAGATGCCCTGCGCGCAGCCGGCGCACTTGGTGCCGAAGCGCCTGCACACGGGACGGCAGCGGCGTCACTCGGCGGCCCCTGATTTCTCCCCGCCTGTCCCCAATTCTGAGGCGCCTCCACTGCGGCCTCTGTCAAAGGAGACACCCCCCCCCCCAGTTCTGTCCTCTCCGGCGGAGACCCCGGAGAGGCGGCCAGACAAGTGTCCGGTAGCGAGCGCGGGGCCCGCTGTGCCCTCGTCAGGCCTATTTTGGACCCTCGCAGCCACCGTGGGCGAGGCCTTCCTCTCTGCTAAGGGAACACCCCAGATGGCCCCGCACCCCACATCCCTGCCGGGTGCCCTCGGGACTGTGACGGATTTCCAACCGGGCAGGTGGGTCGGGGCCACTTCTTGGCTCTGGCCCCTGGATCCTTTCCAGCTCAGACTTCTGGGGGTGAAGACAGGGCCAATAGGCCTGGAATGGGGAGTGGGGGGGGGCGGGCTCCTGTGCCAACCGGGGCAGGAAGGAGGGGCCCTTCCCTTTGCTGAGCCCCAGCAGGGGAGAGTCTCAGTTCCCCTCTCACCCCACTCTGGACCCTGCGAGCCCCCCAAAAGCCAGGGTTCTTGGGAGAAGAATGAGGTAAGCTGAGGTTCATTTAAGCCCTGCCTGGCCGGACAGACGCTGGACCACTCAAAGCTCCCCGCCTTCTCCTCATTCTTCCCTGAGTGTGTGGGGCTTGGGGGTGGGTGGGAAAGGGGGGGGCGTCTACAAACCAGCCTGACACCGGGAGGGGCGAGGGGTGGAGGGGGAGGTGCACGGAGGTGCAGGGCCCAGGACTTGGGGCCCGACATCCCACTCACACCCACGTCTCTAAACAGGGTGAATTTGGGTGACGTTGATGTAGTGAGGGCATTAGAAGCCATAAGTCACTTTTGCCCTTATCCGGCGGCGTAATTGGCCATATGCACCTTATCAAAAATCATTAGGTGCTTTGCAAGGGCGCCACATTAGGGGCCTCAGGCCTGGGGCTGGGGATTTACACGTGTAGGGGCGAGGCTGACATTTTCTCCTATTCAAATTCCCTGATGCTCCCCCACCCCGCCCCAAGCAGCTTTTCTCCTGGGGCCACCCCCTCTGGGCCGGAATTCACACTCACAAAGGCCGCTCGGGGCAAGTGGCCCAGCCGCCTCCCAGGCTGAGGGGGGGGCAGATTCTGCAGCTGGGTGCAACTGGACTGCTTTGGGGGGTCCGACTGCCCCGGGGAAGTTGACAGCACAGGATGCTGGAGCTCGGGCGGGCGGGGGTCCTGGCCCTCACCTGGGATCTCATTTCTACTTTCCCACGCGGGAGAAAAATGTTTAAGGAGTTGGGAAGACGGGAGGAGAGGCTGGACTGCCTCCCCCCTCCCCACACTCCCCCACACCCCATGGCCAAGCCCCCTCTGGAACCGGGACGTTGGGTCCAGGCAGCTTTGGGGGCCGTCCTGCCGGGTGTCAGAAGCCTCTGGAACTTTGGGAAAAATCCTTCCTCCCCGGGAACCAGATTGGAGGCATGACGGCGCCCAGGGGGCCGGGTGGGAAGCAAGTTTCTTAGTTCCAGCCTTCCTGCCCGCCCCCCACCCCCCACCCCCGCGGCCCCCTCTGCCCGGCTCCCAGCGGGCCTGGAGGCGCCCACGCCAGGTGGCAGCGACCTTCTTCCTCCGACCTTCTTCGTCGCCCGGAGCCGGCCGGGGAGCGGGACGCGCGGCCGCCCGGGAAGCCGCAGGGCAGGGGCTGTGCTCCCCGGGCCCGCGCCGAGGCGGCCGCAGGGCGGCTCGCGGGCCGCGGGGCCGAGCGGCCTCTTACCTGAAGAAGTCATTTTTGCAGTAGAGCTTGCCCTCGCGCGAGAAGCACTTCTCGGACAGGTTGGTCTTGCAGTCGCAGCACTGCACGCATTTGATGTGCCACGCGCGGTCCAGCACGTTCAGCAGGAAGCGGTCGAGGATGGGCCGCTCGCAGCCGGCACAGTGCACCATCATAGCCCCGCGCCCCGGCGGCTCCGGCCGCCTGGACCTGCCTCCGGGCGCCCCCCCCCCGCCCCCCACGGCCCTCGGGGCGCCTCGGCCCTGCCTGCGCGCGCGCGCACGCGCGCGCCTCTTGTCTCGGCCGCCGCCGCGCGAGTGCGGGCCGGGCCAAGACTCCTCCGTCAAGTCCTGGGGTGGTCGCTGGCCTGGCGCCGGGCGGCCCGGGGAGGGCGGGGAGCGGCGGCGCTCACAGCCTCATGCCCCGCGTCGCGCGCCCCGCAGCCGGCTCCGGGCTCCCCCAGATGTCTCGGCTGGCGGCTGGGCTCGGCGCTGCGGAGCGGCTGTCCCCGGCGGCGGCGGCGGAGACGCCGGCACTTTCCCCCACTTTCAAGCGGTCCCGATCCTCATCTTTGTCTGGCCGCCGCCTAATTCGCGCATCCTTATTCAGATTTGGTGACGTGGTGCGGCACGTAGGGGGCCCGGCGGCCAATGGGCGCGCCGTGGCCATGGCAACCCCTTAAATTTATAGCATATCTAAATTGGCTACAGCGTTGCCGTCCGCACAGAGCAAAAAAAACAAGGCATCAGTATTGTTGAGTATTAGCTTGTACCTGGTTCGGAGGCTAAGTAAGTATTTACTTGCCAGTGCGGGGGCTGTCGGGACCGGGGGCGCGACCCGAACCCCGCGTTTCTCTTGCGCGAGCTCTTCTTACCGAGAGTTGGGGGTCAGGGTTTCAGGGCCTAGCCGGGGCTGGTGGGTGGGGGTGGTGGTCCCGGGCCCTCTGCGCCGTCCCCTGGACTTGCACAAGTTGCCGAGGTCTGGAGCGCGCTAGGCCGCCAGCTCCCAGCCCAGCCCGAGCGTCCGGAGCTTGGGGTGGGGGTGGGGGGGTTCCCAGCTAGGCTCCGGTCCTTTTGTCATTCTGGACCGGGTCCGGCTGGGCCTTTCTCATGGAGAGAGGGAAAGAGAGAGCGGAGAGCGAGATGGGGTGGGGGGCTATCGCTTTCCTCCCGAGCCAGGCCCGGGTTGGGGGTGTGCCGAGTTAAGTCATCGGCCTGGGCCGGGCGGAGGATGGCGGGAGGGACTCCAGATCTTGGGATCGTCACCGGGTTGCCGCAGTAAGCGGGTTCACCCTAGGGGTGCTGTTCGCACCTGTGCGCAGGCGGGCGGGGACTTTGTCCCATCTGTCCTGGGGACCCAGGGGGTAGGGAGTGCGGGAGTGCTCGGTTGGAGAGGGACCTCCCCCAGAGGAAGAGGAGGAAGGCCTGGCCCCTTCCACCCAAGGACAGCTTGGGTTCCCCAAGTTAGGGAGACTGAGGTGGGGCTGAAAGGTGGATTTTCCTCTGGTGGGTGGGAGTGGGGCTGAGGGGCAGGGGGCAGGTGGGGCTGGTCTGAGGCCTGGAGGCAGGGGGGGTGCTGGACCAATTCCTGACATGGTTCGTGTTTATTTGCTGCTTGAGCCCCCAGTGTGGGCCTCTCTGTCATCCTTACTCAGTAACCAAACCTCAGAGCATGGCTCCCTCTGTATGTGTCCCTGTGTGTATTTCGGTGTGTGCATTGCGTGTTTGTGTATCCATGCAGAGTTCTGCCTGTGTGTGTATTTTGGCATGTGCATTGCGTGTTTGTGTATCCATGCAGAGTTCTGCCGTGTGTGTGTGTGTGTGTGTGTGTGCGCACACTCAAGCGCCCTTTGATTTCGTTGATCCGTGAGGGTGTGTGTTTGCTCGCTGGCCCTTGCCAGGGTGCCTACCTGGCTGCGCGTGTCTTGGTGTGAGGTGACTTGGGTGTGCTGGCGTGTGCCTGCCTGTCTCTGAGTGTGATTTGGGAAAGGCTGGCTTGTGCGTTGCAGGCCAGCCGAGTGCTGTGTGTGGGTCTGAGTTGGGGGTGTGGGTGGGGTGTGAGCCCAGAATTCAGTGCCTGACACCCTCTGAGCGTGGGTCTGTGTTTGTGTTCCATCGACTCTTGTAGGACGAAATGAATTTCTTTTTATTGGGGTGGAAGAAGGGGCCATGTTTGTCTGTATAGCCGCACTCACCTTGGTGGGCTGGCGGGCATCTGTGTTGGGCATTTGGTGGCGGCCCCCACAGTGTGTACTGCCTCTCCCCAGCCCCCAGGCTCACATCTAGACCTCGTCTCGCCCTCCCCAGAAGTCTCCATACGTGGTGATCTGCTGGGTCACAGGTACTGTCCCGGGATCTCCAAAAAGGGCCCTCAAATGGGGCAGCTTCTGCCCGAGGGGCCTGTTCCACGCTCTGGCTGGCCAGGGTCAGCTCTCTGCACTGCCAAGTCTGCTGGCCGCTGAGTTACCTCGCCTGTGTCCTACCACCAGCAAGGAAAGGGCAGTTTCGGCGGCATCCGTCCAGCCTGGGTGCGGGCAGGGCTTGGGCAGTGAACCCCACGCAGGGTGGGCCAGAGAAAGCGGAGCCCGGCTTGGGGCCCGGAGTCGGCGGCCGGGTGGGTCTTTGTCTGCAGTTTCTGCGGTTCTTTTCTCTTCGCTCATCTGTGTTCTCTCCTGTCCGAGCTGCAGCCCCTCTCCTCTGTCCACTTCCCTTTCTCCCTGCTTCTCGCGCTCACTTCCCGCCTTCTCGTTCCTTTCCCCGTCCCTCCGCCGGCTTTTCTGCTCCTTCCTCTTCGGGGCATGGAATCTGCTTCACTGCTCAGCAGAGGTTTCAGGGTGCCAGGGGAAGGACTCACACACCATTGGAAGAACGCGTTCCACAGTCTCCTCTACTGCTGCGGGACCAGGTGCCCGGAACCCCCTCTCCTGCCCCCGTTCCCCAAAAAACAATGTCAGGTCACTGGGCACACATTTTAACTCTCACACGCTGAACCAGCCAAACTGGCCGGCTGGACCTGATCCCACATGAGGACTCCGGCCAGGGAGGTAGAAAGAGAGGCCGCGTCTCTGGTCCCCCCCAGCAGCCGGAGACTGAGGTGCAGACAGGACAGGACGGGGTACAGCGGTGGTGGCCCCTGTCAGCCCTCCTCGTTCGCAGGCAGGAGAGCCGAGAACCCGCGGCACCATCCCAGCCGTCGTCGGCCCTCACGGTGCTAACAGATGGCGCAGGGGCAGCGAAGTTCCCTCCTGGATGTAACTAATAAACCGCTTCTGTCTTAACAGGCAAATGCACGGCGATGCAATGCCATGGCACGTGTGCGAGATGTTGATGGCATTTTCTATATAAAAATCTTCCTCCTAGAGGAAAGAGTATCAACATTACAACGCGACAGACGGCGGCGGGATAAGTAAAAGAGACAAAAGACAAACAAGATCATAATCTGTTTCCAATCACTTAAGCCCGGTAGAGTTAGTGATACGCGGTTCGCATATTTCCCCCTTGAGTTCGGCAATTAATTACTGGGGCCCCCGGACCGCTGGTACCCGCCTAGGGGTGGGCGCCTGGAGGAGGCGCGCTCAGTTCAGCTCCGGGAACGGCCGTCTGGACCCCGGGACTTGAGGATGTCGCTAAAGGGGGGCTCCTTCCCCGGGCGTGAGGAGCGGCGCGGCCACCGGCTTCTGCGCAGCGACGCTTGGGTCACTTTGTTCTCCTCCTCCCCCGGGACTCCTGCGGGGGTGGGGGGTAACAGCCTAACTCGACTTCCTCTACGCCCCGCTAAACGCACCCGGTCTCCAAGAAGCGCCGCGTTTCTTGGGGGGGACGCGCGCGCTGGAGGAAGAAGCCTGGAAAACGCGCCCCAGTCCCCTTCCCGTTGGAGCGTGGCCGGCTCCGCCGGGTCCTCACCCCGACTCGGGTCATTCCCGTTCCCCGCCACCACGCATCCTCCGCCCCCTCCCCGCCGCCCGCTACCCCCGACCCCGCGCGCCTTTAACATTAAACAAGCGCCCCAAAGCTGCGCTCTCGGCCGGGCCCGCGCGGCCGCGGCGGCCGCGTTACAAATTGTAAATTTAAATTGCTCGCCGGATTCATTACCTCCCCTCTTTGATTTCAGCCAGCCGTGAAAAATTATACTGGTGCACCACTGAGAAACTGTTTTGCCGCAAAGAGCCCGCGCCTAATCACTGGCTTTCTCCCTCCGACAAAAGTGTAATTATTTTGTTTGGGGTGTAAATATAGGCCGCGCCGCGCACACACTCTCGGCACCCCGCCGCGCCGCCGCGCCCGGCCCGCGCCGCCGCCCAACGTCGGACCCCCGAGCCGCCCGCGAGGGAGCTGGGGTGGCGCTCTCGCGACCCCCGGGGAGCCGAGCCCCGGCGCCGGGCCCTGCCCCCCTCTCCAGGTGCCCGACGCTCTCGCGGGGTGACCGCGGTGGACGCCGGAGGCGCGGTGCACGCTCGGGTCTCGCGTCCGCGCTGGGGTGCAAAAGGGTTGCGGGAGGGAGGGGTGGGGGAGGGGTGGGGCGGGATGGGGCGAGGGACCGCCCCCGGGGGCGGCCAGCTGGGGGCAGTCCCGAGCTCTGGCGGGGACCGTGTCCGGTTCGTGCGCGGCTGCGTGGGGAGGAGTGGCCGGCTCGCCCCGTCGCTTCTCCCTGGACTCTGGGTCTCCAGAAAGCTCTGCGGGGCGCGGGCCCTTCCGGTCAGCTGAAGTGCTCGCTGCTTAATTAACGGGTTTCTGTGACTGGGCAGCCCCGGCCTGGAATGTTTAATCAAAAAGGCAGCGAATTCCTTCCCTCTTTCTCTCCTTCTCTTCTCCCCTCCTTCCCTCCCTCCCTCCCTCCATTCCTCCCTTTCTCCCTCCCTCCTCCTCCCCTTCCTTCCTTCCTTCCTTCCTTCCTTCCTTCCTTCCTTCCTTCCTTCCTTCCCTCCTTCCTTCCCTCCCTCCCTCCCTCCATTCCTCCCTTCCTCCCTCCCTCGTCCTCCCCTTCCTTCCTTCCTCCTTCCTTCCTTCCTTCCTTCCTTCCTTCCTTCCTTCCTTCCATCCCCCTCCATTTATCCATCTATTCAATAACTTGCACCCTTACCCCCCTTCACGAACCCCCCCCCAGAACGGAACTAGTTCAGTGTCTGTGCCAGATGGGACTTTAAGGGCCTCCTGCAGGCAGGGGATGGTGATGGGGCGGTTCAGCAGAGCCTGGGTCTTTGGGAACCCGAAGCCGACCAGGAATTTGTGGTGGGCTCTCCACAGGGCCAGGCTTGGGGGGGGGCTGGAAGCTGGCGGCAGACCCCACCAAGGTCAGTTGCAGTTCCGGCAGGGATGAGGGGGAGAGGGGAGCAGCCTGCCCTTCTCAGTTCCCAGGGATGCGATCCCCCCCCAGCTGGTCCCAGTCTCCAGCTGGTTTAGAGACCCTGAGGCTCGTGGCTGTGGCTGGGCGGAGCACGGTGCGTCCTCTTTCTCCTTCCCAGTCTCGGGGCTCCCGGAATGTGCTCCCGGAGCACCCCCCCCCACCCCGCCTGCCCGGCTCTTGAGCTTGGGACTTTCCGGCTCCAGACTGGACTCAGTTGTTCGGAGGGGGCAGAGTTAAAGCCTCGGGGCCAGAGGGAG